CTTTAGGAACTCAAAATTTTTTTTTTCCTTTTTTCTACACTGTTCATCTAATAAATAAAGCCATAGGAAAGGTAACAAGCCCTTCTAAGGCATATATTTAAGCATCTCACCAAAATGAATGACCTATATCAACTGGAAAATATATTGTAGGATGCATTTTCCAATTTTTACTTTTGTAGTTGTTCATTAGAATGAAAACAATCGATGTTTAAAAATTGAAAAATGGTTTGATAGGGCTGCATCCCTATCAAAATAAAATAAAGCATCACCTCATAACTCATTGAGAATTGCCATTCAAGCTTTGGAAAACCTTTACATCAATCATCTTGGCTTAAACGTTACGATTGTAAAAAAAGTCGGATTTCAAGCTCTAAAAATAATGTATATTATAATAAATTATCTAGACCGTCTATTGCACCTTAAAAACAAGTGTTTACATATCTGTAAAACATATCACTATTAATTTTTAAGTTTCAAATTATATTGTCGGTATAGGATTTTGATTTTAAAACCATATTTTAAAAAAATATAGTTTCATTATATTATAATGACATGAAATCACGCTCGATATATATTGCAAGGTGTAAAGTTTAGTTAGGTCATAAGCCACATAATTTTACTCTATGTCAAAATGTGAAAAATTGACTTCCCAACTCCTTAACATAAAATGGATCTCCTATTCGAACTAACCACCCAGAGTATTCAAATTGCATTTTGGGTGATGTACTTCTCTAGGGTTTGTTGTTGACCTTTACCATCCATCACAATGAACTTGCAATTGATGACTTCACCATGTACCCTGCACAATATGGAGGTGGGTTAGGGGTATGGTCTAGCCCAAAGGGCAGCTTGATAGCTTGGAAAATATAATATTAGAGCTTTAGGTTGTTTTCATCATCATAGTCTTTTTCTAATTGATTGGAATCGGTTATAAGAATCTGGTATGCAATTCTGCACTATTATGGATCATACTTCCGTAAATCTATAAGTCCCCCATATCTTTTCATATTACTTCCAACTACATTTTGTTGGACCTATCCCTTGCTCTTTTTAAACAATCCATTAGCTTTAAATGCTATAAGATATTTCCCTTTAAAATATATTGGCCCTACAATGTGATTTTTTTTTTCTTAAAATCAAGGGAATTATTGCGGTCGATGGTTGGCTCTCTGACTCAAATGTGTCCACGTAAAAATTTGAGAAGCATTACTATCTATCAATCATCAAACTATTTGTTTTTATTTTATTTTATTAAGATAACATACCAATAGGTGGGATAAAGCTCGGATGTATTATAATGATGATTGCGAGACTATACCAATAAAATGTTTTGCTTCTGGTATATAAGGGATACGGCCAGTTTTAGCTATTCAATGTGAAATTATATGGTTAGAGGTGCAACATTTACCATGCTAAATGTCATACAAAATTATCTTTAGAGATTTTTTTTATTTATTGCGTAGATAGTGGCAAATACATGCTTTGCCCATTTTAAAAATAATTAGTGGTTTTCAAAATCATGAGTGAGAATAAAAAACCTATATCGATAGCTGAGACTCAAATGGTACTACCATCACGACCTCAACTCCATTCTCAAAGTCCTCATAGTTTGTGTACAAAGGATACACCTCAACCATCCCATTCTACATCGGACGACTTTGTAGTTGACTCTTATGTAGGAAAGGTGACAATCGCATCGCAAACGATCTCTATTCTTAAATCTCAATGCATTTTTTTATTAGAAAATAAATATGGAAGGAATCGAGATGCTATAATTGAATATTGCTCTGGTCCAGGAGCCTCAGCACCAATTTCAAAGCTATGAATCACGGATTTTTTTTTTTTTTATTTGACGTCTGGGTATGATATTTCAATGGCAAGTTTGAAAAAATTTAAATGTGTCCCGGTTAAGGCGTTAATTTATGTAAAATGAAAAATTGAAAAAAGGATAAATATATCGAGATGCACCAAATTTTGAACTATGTAGCATTTTATACTTGCCATGAGCTTCAAAGCCCATTTTGATAAGTTATTGATGGGCAACTTGAAATTTTATATAAAAAAACGACGGGCCTATTTAAAAGCAGATAAAAATATATAAGAGTCATAATAGTTCTAAAATATAAATTAGTTTGATTAGAGTTCATAACTTCTCGAAATACAAATGTTAATGCTAGAATGAGTTGTAATGGATGTATTTATTAAAAAATTCATTATTTTATGTTTAAATATTGGAAAAAGTTTGCATAAGGTTGCAACCTTAAAATGTAGAATCATTTATGTACCTCAAAATTCTATCGGAAAGGTTGTTTTAATGTTGAAAAACCTTCTAATTTATCATCTCGATATCGAGATGTATGAATATTAAAAAAAAAAAAAATTGAGTCCCAAAAATCATGCATCTTGCAACACATTATCTAGACCGTCCATTTTCAACACTTTCATATACTTATAGATATACTTGATATAAACCTTTTTTGGAGTTTAAAATTTTATAATTAGATACAAAAATAGATTTTGAAATAATCGTAAAAAAAAATTACAATAAAATTATAGGTTATGATAAATTTCGGAGGTGCCTTTTAATTGGATTGTTCAAGGTTGCAACCTCATAGAAACCACACCCTTATTTTAATATGTAACTTAATCATTAAGTAACGACAAATTAATTTTTTTGACAATAGTACAAAGGTATTTTAGAAGTTAGTGTCCTAAAACTCTATTTACTTTTAATTTTTAGTAAGAATTTCAACTTTACTCCATATAAAAATGATAAAAGCACCTAACTTTTAGTGACATTTACATAAATACCATTACTTGATGAGCAATATCAATGTTGTCATATTCACTCCGGAATCTTATTCGGTTTGGTGAGAAAAATAAAACAATTCAGTGCTTTGGCCAATTCGAGGGAAGGTTTTGTATTTAAAAAATAAATAATATAAAAATATTAAGTATTTGCATGTAAAAATAATGGAGAAATTTTTAAAAATAAAAAATTAAAAAAATACTTTTATATAGGCATTTATTTTCTAACCAAATAAGCTCAAAGCTTCAGCCGAAGCAAATCCGAATCAAACGGAAGTAGCCCGAATCTGATTGAATCGGCAAAACTAGGCTTTTATTTGCTTCGATTTTTGCTTTAAATTCGAAGGCTCTGGCCACTTCATCTGAAGCCAAACGATTTTGACAACATTGAGCAATATATCATAAATACAACTATTTTTTTAAAAAAATACATATCATAGTAGAATATACATTCGTCACAACTCACTCTAACATTAACCTTTGTAATTTGAAGGGTTGTGAAATGTAGATTATCCCAATATAAATTTCAGATCATTTTATATGGAAAAAAACAAAATTTCATATCATTTACTTGTTTTCTCAAGGCAACGTTCCTTTCATCATTCAACACAAGTTGCCTAACAGTATTTGTTGAAATATCACCCATCATCATCATCCAAACCATATCCAGACAATTTGGGATCGGCTACATGTATCATGTCCTATCATTCTACTCTATCAAGGGCCATACTCTCTGTAAGACTATAGGTACCCATATATTTTCTCACAACTGCCATCCATGCCCTTTTGAGCGATCCCCTTGCCTTATATTTAAACCAACTGGCACTTTCTATGGGTATATACGCAAAAATTTAACACAATGAAGGAAATTTTATGCGACATATTAATTAATTTTATTGCTATTTTTTCCACCCAAGGGAAATTTATGAAAATCCTATTTTATTATCAAAGTTAAAAAATAGTTCGGTATATTTTATATTTTATACCCAAGTCATACTTTTCGAGAGTGTGTATTGTGTTTTAATTTAATTTTATTTTTTATATATTAGATTGAGCTCGAATTTAGAGAGTTTATATTTTCACCATATTCAATATATAAATATATTAAAAATATTATTAAAATCAAATCTGTAGAGGTATTTAGTTATTTTATTTAAGTTGTTTATAACTTTTTAAGTGTGTGATGGTGGGAAGTATGGATGTCCAAAACTTAAGTTTATTTGGGTATATAAATAAAATTAAAATATGATATCTAGTATAAAAAAATAAAATTAAGTTTAAAATATAAAAGAAAAAGTGTCTATAAGGTTAAAACCTTGAAATATGTAATTAAGGTGCACCTAAAAAATCGACGAGGCTGTTTCGATGTTAGAAAACTCTATAATATGTCATCTCGACATTGAGATGTATGAATATTATATAAAAAATAGATTTTCTGTCCCAAAAACAATGCACCTTGAAATACATTATCGGGATTGTCCATTTTCATGATTTTTATGTGTTTATAAATCTACTTGATTTTAACCATTTTTGGAGTTTAGAATTTTACAATTGAAAATGGATTATTAAGTTATCATAAGTTTTTTGACACTGAATTTGCATGATACGATAACTTTGATTGTTTAAGATTATCTTATTCAAACGACACCCAAATATAAAATATACAAAATATTTTTAATCTCTAAAAATGGAAGGAAAATAGTTTGACAGGGATGTAACACTATCAAAGTAAGTAAAGCCTCACCTTATAACTCATCGAAAGTTATAATTTAAACATTGGAAAACTTTTACATCGATCATCTTGGCTTGAACATTATGGTTGTGAAAACAAATTAGGATTTCAAGCTCTAAAAAAAATGTATATTGAAATAAATTATCTAAATGGTAAATTTTATTGTCAACGTTGAAAATTGATTTTAGAGTCATTATGGAGATTTCCGTTGCCAAAAAATGTTTCTTAAGCGAAGATTTGAGGTGAGGTTTTATTTCGTTTTCATAAAACCTAGACCTTATAGAAATTCGGAGATTATATCATCCAAAAACAAAAAAGAGGGACCTTTCTATTAATCTCTCCCGCCCAAGAACACATGTGCGACGATTATATCGTCCTCACGCGTGACGCTTTCGTGCGTCTTTCACATGTGCGTGTCACAGTATCGTGTCACAGTATAAGAAACTCGGAGAAATCGCTTTTTTTAATTTTTCGGCTAAGCAAATCGCCATTTCTCATCATCTCCATTTTCTTGTACTTCACTACGAAAATTTCCTTTGAAATTTTCATATTTTGCATTGCCATTACAGAGTTTTGATGGCATCTTTGATCTGTATGCCACGTAAGCCCTAGGATCTGCAACTCTCGGTGGACCAGAGGCCGAAGGATGGCTTTCATGGCGGTTTTGGAGTCTGATCTGCGTGCTCTCTCCGCTGAAGCTCGGAGAAAGTACCCAGCTGTTAAAGATGGCGCAGAGCATGCAATTTTGAAGGTTAGCTCAGTGCTTTTTTGAATCCGTCAAGGCTTAGTTGAATTCTATGAAATCCACGCTTTTAACTATGATGTTGTAAAGATTTCGAAAAATGGTTATATTGAACCTGCATTTAGGGTTTTTCGTGTTATTTCCATTTATTTATTCTCTGTTATGGCGACAATCATTGTTTTGGCTTAATCAAGAGATGCTATTCATTGGTTTTCGTTTCATTTTATGTTTTAATTTTGAGAAATTGTTTAACTTTGCAAAAATCTAAGTAGAAGTTATGGATGTTACAGCACTGAAGGCTTCACTTGTTCCTTTAATTGACTTCAGGCTTACTGTGTTGAGAATTAAGGTTTTGGCTTCAGTAAGGACTTGTGCTTGTTAATTATTTTTGAAGTTTTTGTCATTTTTGTCTTGTACTGATCTAACTTGAAGGTTTCAATCACCCATACTGGAGGCATCTGTGCATAATTCTTTTATGTTTATCTAGGGTTTCTTTTGTTTTAATTTATGAGGTCAAATGCTTAGAATGCAGATTACGTATGTTTGCATTATTTTGCATGTTTATCGTTCACGTGGACGTTTGCTTGATCGACCAATTAATTGTAGTTTGCACACAATTTTCTGTTTTTTCCTCTAAATAAACAATTGCTTCATTTTATTTTATTTGATTTTACATACTGATTTCATGTAACTTTCATGGACTTTCTGTTATAAAATGTAAATTATGCATGTTCTCTCATTCGTGTAATTCATGATGTAGTTCATCTGTTGAGTTTTGTTTCATTGGGATGCGATTTAACCACCAGATAGCTTGGATTGCATGTCGGATTTTGCCATGAAAATTAAGGTGTCAGTTGCAAAAAGAACCATTGAGAAAATGACCGAGAGCTCTAATATTTTGGCCTTTTAATATGCTTGTACTGTAAGAATAATTCATCAAGTAACTGAATCGAGATGAGAAAATGCAGCTGCGCACATTGTCAAATCCTGGCGAGATTGCACAAAATGAGGATATATTGCAGATATTCCTAAAGGCATGCAAGGTTAAGACTGTAAAACTGAGTGTAATTGGGCTTTCCTGTTTGCAAAAGCTCATTTCGCATGATGCTGCTTCACCATCTGCTCTTAAGGAGATACTCTCAACTTTGAAAGATGTGAGTTTCTTACTCAATTAATTTAGAATCCTCATTGTTATTCCTAATTTTGCCTGAAGCTTACTCGGCTATTGCCTAGTCATTTAATGTTTATATTAGGTTCTCTTGATGTAATTTTATTTGCCAAAGTCAGTTGTGAGTGGGAATAAATATATATATGCCTACTGTCATACTTAAATCCACATGCGTGCACACAGACATACATGTATATGTAGGTTTTGTTAGGCTACTATTTCTTTGCTTTAATATATATACACACACATTGAGAATTGCATCCATCTGTTTGCATTTGGATATTAATGTTTATGCATTAGTGCACGAATTCTTGCCTGCATGCATGCGTAATTGGTTTTTTACTCATGCTCGGCTATCGACTGCATTTAAACTGGCATCATCCGGACAGCTTTGAGCCTTGTGTTCGATTAATATATGAAACTGATAGAGATGATCTATTATACTATCGTGAAGAAGATCCCATCAGGTCTTACTACCTTGACTCATATGCCTTTTTAGATTCGACTTGTGGATATCCTCAGAAAGAGGATTATTTGAGATAGAGATTCATATCTTATTGGCACTATGTTGCTGATGGATCGACGTGTCACAACATCAATTTAAGGCATGGAGCATGAGTGTGCTTCTATTTTGAATTCCATAAATTGACATTTAATTATTTAGTTTCATCTATCTCTCGTTTTACTTATGTGTCCAGGAGTATTTTGGTCTCTGGGACCATTGCTGGGCGTGCTTGAGGCTTTCATGAGGATGTAACATGTCAACATCTTATAAGATTCCATCTGTATTTTTCTTGATTTTCTCATATTAATCAGGGAAAAAACATTCCTGACAATCATATCCTGTTACCCATCGAGGGAGATGCATACATATGACATTCATCGAATCCCATCCTTGATTGTCTTATATTGTTTGTTTTGATCTTGAGTATTTGTATCAGTATCACTTCTGATTGCTCTTTTCAATCCTCTTGCAGCATGCTGAAATGGCAGATGAAAGTGTTCAACTCAAAACACTACAAACCATACTGATCATATTCCAGTCGCGTTTGCACCCACAAGATGAGGTCAGATTTGCTTATACATTGTATAGTTAACCTTTCTCTACTACTTCTTACAAGAGGATCAGGGAGTTGGTCAAAATTAGGCTTGCTTCAAAATGAGTCATAGAACCATTTTTTTGTTGGCATTGGTTTTATTCCGGTAACATATTTTCAAAATCTTCCTGGTTTTGCAGGATGACATGGCTCAAGCACTTGGTATCATCCTCAGTCTCCTTGAGAACAGTCGGTCTCCAGATAGTGTCCACAGGTAAGAGCATCTGGTAAATGTGGTTCTGAACTTTAGATAGAAGTGTATTTTCTTGATTCACTACTTTAAATTATGTTAACCAGGACCAAAATCCTGATGCTGGGACAATTTTTTATTGATGCAGCACTGCCGCAGCTACATTCAGGCAGGCTGTCGCCTTGATTTTTGATAATGTTATTCGTGAGGAATCACTTCCTGCTGGTATCGCGGGTTATGGAAATCATCTATCTCGGACTAGATCAGTCAGTGGTGATGTGAGTCGCAGTATAAATCATACAACGTATGCATTCTGTTTCTTCTGTTAAGAAATTTGTTGCCGCTGATTTAATTTTTCCAATATATGTTTGAATTTTTAAAAAATTAAATTTTAGAGAATTTTTATTGGTTCATTCATTAACAGGTTATTTGAGGGTTATACTGTTTCTGGTGTACCATCAGCAAGGGAGAATTTGACTGATGCTGGAAAGCTTGGGCTTCATCTGCTTGAAGACCTGACAGCTCTTGCTGCAGGTGGATCTGTATGTGCTAAATAATTTGGCATTCTTTGTGTATCATTCTCTATTGACTTATTTATATTTTTATTTTTTGAGTAATATTTTGAACCTGCCTTATGTAGGAATCTGTGTTGTGTATGTATGTAGTTGATTTATTTATCTATCAACTAGATATTTGTAATGAAGTGCTTTCCTGTAGTCATTATTTTCAGAGGCCTAATTCTTCTTCTTCAAACTCTTTAAAAGAAGAAGATATCTTATATTGAGTCAATGTGTCACCACACTACTTCAAATATCCTTATTTATGTTTGTGTGTTGATTTATTTCATCACTGATGAAAAGTTTGTCTCTAATATTAGGTGATCCGGTTGCGAGTCATTGCTGTCCAGCGAACATTTACTCTTGATATACTTGAGTGAGATATCCACCTCAATTGTTTGTACTGCCTTGATGTATGATTTGTGGAATGATTGATTATTTTCTGATTCTTCTTTGAGCTGTGGGGCCTTTTGTAACCTTGCTCTATGTTCCAATTGTTTTTGGATTAAATCTCTCTACATGTTGATGTACACCTATGCTAATCAATATGTTAATTTTAGTCACTTTGCATTTATGGCAGTGATATCAACTAGCCTGAATTTGTTTTCCAGTGTCAGTATAATACTGGTTGCACTTATCTTCATTTTGAACATATTTGAGCGTTTTCTATGAAAAATATTACATGACTAGGATTTCATTCAGCTTTGCTTTTTTCTTTGGGAGATATTTGATTTTTTTCTCATAAAATACATGTTTTTGTTATGTCATATATAGTTTGTCATTCAGTTGATGCCGGGTTGAAGGATTAAAATCTTCCAATTCATGCTTCAGGTAGTCTGTTTTCATTCATTAAGCATAATGTAATAGTCCCTTTTATACAAGACATCCAGGTTACGATACAAAAACACCCTTGAGATACAATGTTGAGAAACCCCTTGGGCGTATAACCTCTTGTACATAGATGAAGAATCAAATTACACATAATAACAGCAAGTATATGTCCCAATAGCATGAAACTGGAACATCCATAGAGATCATTGTCACCATTGAAAGGAAAAATCTGTAGGGACTAGTTGTTCACCTATTAGTTGTATACATCTCGGTACTTGGTAAACAACTCTGCAACTTGATCTTTTGAAGGGAGATAGTTTTATTAATTCGAATGACATTTCTTTATAGTTTATTTTTTATTACTTTATTATTGATAATTGGCATCATAAATTGGTGTATTTCTGGTTCACCTAGTGCAAAGAGGTAAAAATGTATATAGAGAAAGGAAAATAGGAGGGAGCTTAGAAGAGAAAGGGGCTTTGATACAACTTGGTTTCTATTTTTCTTATTGTTTTGTTTACTATTTCTAAGAGACTGAAATTAGATTTAGGTTATATTGTCGTTCAATTACTTAAGTGAGAGTATTGCGTCTTACTTTAGTTGTTGATAGTTCAAAGGTAGGGCTAGAAATTTAATTTTAAATAGATGAAAGGCTAGAATTTGATTGTGGTTAGGTTTTCTTAAGAACTTTTTTTTTATTTTTTTAAATTCCTTCTTCTATAAATATGTAAATGTTGGACAAGAAAAATGTAGAGAAGAATTTATTTGGGTCTTGTGAAAAGATCTCTCTTTTGGGGTGGACTCCCTTGCTGACCCAAAATGAGGGTATAATCTCTTGCCTTTTTTTTTTTTTCTTATAATTCTATTCTCACGCAAAATGAGGGTATAATCTCTTGCCTTTTTTTTTTCTTCTAATTCTATTCTCTCTGGTACACAATTTATTTTCTTTCTCCCTTATCCTAACTTCAATTGGTATCAAATCTAAGAAGATCCATCCATCATAATGCCGCCAACGCCAGCCTTTGCTATCGATGATATACTTACACAAATCATAGAGCTTGTGACTTGTGAATCAACAAATTAAAGGTGTGAATCAACAAATTAAAAATACCATATACTTACACAAATCCAGATCAGCGAAATTCGAGGAGCGATTGGTGAAATGAATAGTGGTTAAAGCAACTAAAATATATTGATCGTTGAGGTGAGGTTGCTCGCAATTCCATAGATCTGACACCAAATTTCTCTTGAGGGCTTAATCGAGCTAACTCTAGGGGCAGATCCAATGCGTAATGACCAAATTTGGAGGTAAGAACCACAACTTGTTGAGCGTCCACGAGATCCCATGCTCCCATAATACCTTGGGTGTAAGGCCTTGGATTGCTGATTACACTCCTATCATAATTGAACTTCCAAGGGCCTAATGGTTGTCGAATTAAAATGGGTTGTTCGATTGGTCTCTCTCCAGGATTCACTTTGGACCGTGGTGCTAGTCACACCATGTTTGGTACTCTAATACTGCGAAATTGATCAGGAGCCAGCATTGTCGACCTAAATGTGGCCTAGTAGCAGACTGAATGCACCTTCCAAATTGTAATTTCCTAGGGTTGTGGTCTATATTCTATTGATGTTGATTGGCTTTTTTTATTGAACTTCCATTGCTTATCTACAAGTGGGGACCGTAGCTTAAGGTAGCAAACAAAAATAGTGAGTGTACGCATCGTTATTCCATTTTATTTCATTATTGTGATATGTAATAATTTGTTCACTGAGTAATTTATTCATTTGTTTAGCTTTGTTCTTTTCTTAAATTTTCTTACAGTTGTGCATACTTTAATGACCAGTTTTTACTATTTTCTTTCTTTGAATTTGTTGAAGGTCTACTGGTCAATCATATTGGTATATTATTTGGTAACTAGCAGCATATTTTCTAACTTATATTGCATTGGAGAAACATGTGGTCAGTTGAATGGTGTTACATATTGCTTTGCTAGGACAAAGACACTCTTGACATACCAATTATGAGTTTCTAGGGAAGAATCCGTGTTTGGATGAGTGATTTATTTTAAGTGGGTACTAAACTACTTATGCTTCCTGCTCAACAGGTTTGTTCTGTCAAATTATGTATCTGTTTTTAGAGTTCTTTTGCCATATGAACAGGTATTCTCATTATTGTCATCCCATTGAATTCAATAATTTATTGACATTGAATGGCAAGCTAAAAGTAAACTTGTCTCTTACTAGGTTCTGCGTCACCAGATCTGTTCTCTTCTTATGACCTCTCTCCGTGCAAACACTGAGGTAATTCATTTTTTTGAGGATATTGAATGCCCTAAAGCAATTCAACCAGTTCTGGTCATGCTTCGCCTTTTCATTGAGCATTTGATTTCCCCTGTGGCAATCATGCTTTTCCTGTTCATGCAGCTTGAAGGTGAAGCAGGAGAGCCCTCCTTCCGTCGCTTGGTCTTGCGTTCTGTTGCTCATGTTATCAGACTTTACAGTTCATCTCTTATTACAGAATGTGAGGTATACCCTTGATCACCCATTCCCATTGGTAGTTACCTCACACTTCAATTCTCATTCACTTTCACAATTTAAATGTTATATATACATAGAATGAAACCGAAATGTGAGCCAAAAGTCTACCTTTCGGCCACTTTTGCCTTTTCCCTTTCTGTTTTTGGGTCATTTTGTGAGGTCTGAGTTTTCCTGAGGCTGTTTTGCTAGGGCTGTTCTTCCTCTTATTCTTGTATCTACAGACAAATGTGATGTAATACATGCTTTTATACTATGAATACCATAGAATCATCCGGAAACAAATGGATCAGTATGCACAACATTTTAAGTTCATTGTATGCTGCAATTTATTCATCTGCAAGTTAGACAATACTATCATTGGAAACCATTTTTGATGTGCTGAAGTGGAAAAGAGCATAACCATGATGCTTGTTCTCTCCCTGTTGAGGACGGCTGTTTGAAGGGAGCCTATTCCTTGTTGGAGACACTCTAGCTAACTCCCCAGCAGGTAGGTGAGCGTGAGCCTCAAGTCTGAATCTCTCAAACCATGGTTGAAGGAGATCTCTGCTGGACCGCTTAGATCTAGACTTCGACTCATCAGGTTTGTTATACTCCATGGACGTTTGTCTCCCATTTTCTCCACATTAGGACATTGAAGTAGTAACATTTGTAGCATAGTAAAATATATGGACGACCTGAAAGACCATAAGGGGCGCATTGACTTTCATAGCTGAAGTGGCTAAAACCTGGTGGGCTAAGAAATACCATCGTAGCACTACTGCCTTCACATTCCTAAAGTTGCTGCCAATATTAAGGTCTGTGGTTCTTGATGGAACTGCCAGTAAGAGTTGAGCTTAAGGCTCCCCATTAAGTGGCTGCAAAAAGGGATAGTAGGCCTCGGTCTTGAAGCACAAAATGAGATTTCTTTCTATGTATTTTTGCTTAAAATGCAAGATATTGTACAAAAATGTGGCACATTTGGATTGACATGGTATTTGGACAATTTGTTGCATCTCATTTTAGACATTTTAGTTTGCAAAGTTCTTCTTGTGTTTGTCATTTGCCTGTTATTATTGTGTACTTCCACTGTCTTGTTTTTGTTTTTGGTATTTATTGATGCATAGCATGTGAATTTATAGGCTTTTCTTATTCTAACTGTTACTACATTAATGTGGGTTGTGGTTATCATGAAGAAGTAAGGATGTAGTGATAAAAATGCTGTGATTTCCAGGTTTTTCTCAATATGTTGGTCAAGATTACTGCCCTCGATCTGCCGCTATGGCATCGGATTCTTGTTCTTGAAGTTCTGAGGGTAATCATTACAACTGAACTTTAAGCAGCACTACCCTGTTTGTAGTGTTGTTCATGATAAAAACTGGGTTTTAAAATTTAGTTGACTCAATCGACTTATAGTCAATTAAGTTAACTTTCTCTCAGGGCTTCTGTGTGGAAGCACGGACCTTGCGCCTCCTTTATCAAAATTTTGACATGTAAGGATGTTTCTTCTGGAACTTTCATCTTTGATGAGTTGTTTGCATTATTTTTGTTGTTAGTTGGGATTTTCTGTTCATTATTTATGCTTCTAGCATAATTTACATTTTGTTTGTCTCGTAGGCAGCCCAAAAACAGTAGTGTTGTGGCCTCTATTGTCGAATCATTGGCTCGAGTTGTTTCTAATATACAGGTATATAAGATTCCTATCTGATCATGTGTTTCTTTTTCACTTATTTGCAGATTAACAGAATTTTATCAATTAAATTCATGTTAAAAATCTACTAGGAAGGCAGTATTTATTTGAAGAAGGTGACAACATATAAACAAAAGGAGAATTGTTTGGTGCGTCCAAGCCCGCACCTGTTACTATGCGGGCTTGGAGATCTACACCATCCACCAAAGAAAGTGTAGATCTACACCATAAATAATATTCCTCCAAAGAAAAAGTAAAATCAATGGTTCAAATATTTTCTCCAAAAAATATCATTTCTAGTTTTTAAAATTTATTTATTTTTGCAGATTAATATTCTACATGTTAAAGATTATATATTCCCTAAAAATTAGGATTAAATTCTATTTGAAACATAAATCATTAAGGGACCCGCATTTTTACATGTGTGTCTGTGGACTCATAGAAACCGTGTCCTTAACAAAATAGTATAGTTACAAAAGATGAGTTTTTAACAGCATCCCACAAGCTGTTTGCTTCTATGTAACAAAACATAAAGAAGAAAAGGGGCAGAGAGAAAAAGGAAGGAAGTGAGGGGAGGGTTTGAGTTTTAGAGTTGGGCGAAGGAGAAGGGGAGAGAGGGTACCTGTAGAGGAAAATGAGGGGGGAGGGGGAGAGAGCGCTATCAAGAAATGCGCTGTCTAAAAAACTCCGGTAACCAAATTTGAGTGCAGTAAAAAATGTGAGGAACAAAAAAAGTGTGCAGCCAAAAAAAGTATGCGCTAATTAAAAATGTGCGCAATCCAATAAGCTCTATACAATGAAGCAAAAAGAGAGAAATGAGGGAGACCTGATAGGAAAAGAAAAGGAATGGGCGGCCCGCTTATTGGGTTCTCAGAGATGTAAGGGGAGAGGGGCACCCACATGCTGGGTGCTTAGACGAGAAAACAGGGAGCTGAAGGATGGGTACTCTGCAAGCTGGGTGGTAGGCCACACGTAGTTGTTCTTCCCAGCAAAGAGCCATTGAACCACCTACAAAAACACACACACACACACACACACACACATATATATATATATGGAAAAAGCTAAAAAACGCCTATAGGCGAAAATGAATAGTGTTCGCCACTATAACGGATTTGTTATGTCCATGGCGGTTTATTGAATGGAGCCGCAATGAACGACGCGTGGCGGTTTCCGTGGATTTTTCGACCGCCACGGACATAGCATGTCCGTGACGGTTATGTCCATGGCAGTTGAAAAATCCTCGCCGCTCGAAAAAAAAGGACGGCAATGGCGCTATGAGCGAGATCATTGTAGCATCTTGCCCATGGGCGTTGCGTAGATGCTGCCTATATATATATATATATAGAGAGAGAGAGAGGGTGGTGAGGTGGTAAAGCAAGAGATTGAAATAGATACGAAAGAAATAGGAGAGATGAAGAAGAGAGAAAACATGAGAGCAAGAAAAAAAAGAAAACAGATGAACATGTGAGTCAAAAAAGACACGGAGGCAGGTTCCCCTATGACGAGGCCCCAGCTAATGAGTTCTCATTAGAGTTGGCCTCCTGCCAGATTTGACGGAAGCCGACTCATAGAGGCATGCATAAATGGATAATATGGTCAAGAATAGAGGTAAGGTGCCATGGGCAGTGACAAACTCCTATTAGCCCACTGAATGATGTTGGCGTTGTCCCCTTTTACAATGTGCTTGTATCCCTAGAAGTGGTCGAATCTAGAGTCCTTCGAGCAAAGCATGGGCCTCTGCCTGGACAGTTGCTAGACTGAAATAGTATGGCCATTGTGATCTTGGAAACTTCCTCCAAAACCACTTGGTCCCAGGTTGCCCGAGGAGCAGCCCACAAAATTGAGTTTGATCACCCCCTGGGGAGGAGGGTACCAAAAGAGGATCTAGATAATTTTGGAGCGCGAAAAGTGTTGATGTCTGCCCAGTTGAAGAAGAAGTCGGTCTTGGGAAAAGATTTCAGCGTCTATTGTTGGAGCCCCTGAAAATGACCAATTTGCGGGATGCTTCGGCAATGCTAGGGATTGTTTGATAGGTGCTTTTGCAGTCTCTCGAATTCCTCTCTTGCCAAATCAACCACAAATCATCCATAACCGAAGCTTTCCAAAGAAATATGCTAGTAAGAGGATACGACGGGGAGAAAAATTCTAAGAAGAGTTGTGAGATCGATTTGGCAGCGATCCACACCCAATTAAAATCCCTGGGAGTGAGAGCCCAGAGCTGAGAAGCCAAAGAGCAGTGACGAGATAGGTTTTCATGTGTCTCGTCAGCGTCATAACAATAGCGACAATGATTGGCTAGAGCTAGGCCTCTCTTTCGGAGTCTGTCTAAAGTGAGGTTGCAGGTAAAGGGGAAACCCAAGCTCCATGGAGGGACTGGAGGGGATGGAGGAATTGAAAGATTTGTAGGAGGAACCTTGAGCACAACATAGGGGGAAGGGGTCTAGATGAGGCGGTTCGAGCCAAAATTAGGAAGGAAAATAAACTACTAAAGGTGTTGCAAAGTTAAGAAGTTGGAAAATTCCCAGTCTAATAGCAATCTCTGAAAAGTGGGGGTCTAAACTATGGGGTTTTGTGGGGAGTCTATATACCGTGCTACCGTGCCATTAGGCAAGCTAGCAAGGGGGAAGAGTCTGGGCCAGAGGTCTTTAAGAGGTTTTTGCCCAATCCAAAGGTTAGAATAGAGAAGGACGAGATTGCCAATATTGACTTTAAAGCAAGTGAGGGACAAGAAGTGTTGGTGGTAAGAGTAGAGGCTCTTGTAGAAACCCAAAGAGGTCCATTTGGCGTGGAGAGGAACCAACCATGAGGGTTAGTACCATATATTTGGAGAAGGACTTCTCTCCAAAGGAGGTGGGTGTAGTTAGCAAACCACCACCACCATTTACCGAGGAGAGCAAGATTCATGTTCTTAAGATTGTAGATGCCAATATCCCCAACTGATTTCAGGAGACACTTTATCCCGGGCCTCTAAATGATATTTGCGCTTAGAGGGTTCACTCGACAAGAGGAAGGATTTCATAACTGGCAATGTCAGAGGAGGGGAAATATGGACATGTAGTAAATGGAAAGATTGGACAGGGTGGCTTTGATGGGGGTAATTTGTGCACAAAGGGAAAGGAACCGTCCTTGCAGGGTAGGGTATCAGAAGGCGCCCACATATGAGAGCTTGGATTTAGCGTGATCCTTTCATCCTAGTTGCAATTTCAGAACAACAAAGAAAATGCCACCAGTTGTCCACCTCAAAGGGAGAGACATCTTAGAACATTAGAGTGTTGTCGGCAATATTTAGTCTTGTTTATGGGTGAGTTGAACTTTGGACTTTAGGAATGGGCATCCATGCCGGAACTTCGAAGCCCAGAGCTAAGAAATACTTTTTTTTTGTAGAATTTGTTAATGTTTGTATTAAAAGGAAAAGTATACAAGTTACAAAATATGGCAACTCACAGTTCGGGTACGATGTGCAATAGCTCCATTGCATGGTAAGCTATAAAAAAAGAAGATAAAAAAACAGCTTTACATTCAGTTTCGTCGTAAAAACGGAACCAAGAGCTCACAAGGTGCCAAAATGGTTTTGGGTTAGTCGTCTTGACTTGCCCCATGTTTAGCGAGTTCATCTGCTGCTGTGTTTGCCTCGCGTCATATGTGCTTTCATGAGGTGTGCATGTCCTTGCAAAGGTGGAGCATTTCGTAAAAAAAGTGTGGTAGTCTCCAAGGGTAATCCGAGAGCAAAGAAGCCCATATAGTAATTTCTAAAGTTTGATGAGCAAAGCTGTGCTCCAGCTAGGGTTGAAATTCTTGAGACCTTCGAGAAGTGTAAGGGACTCAACAGTATTGGAGTCGATGACTTTAGAGGAGTAGAGTCTGTCCTTCGTGGTCACGGAAGATGCCCCGTTTCCCTGCTGGGCCCGGATGGCCTAGAAAGTAATTGTCGAAGGTGAATTTGGTCTGACCAGGTTCAGGGGTCTCCATAGAGAAGAGTGAGTGTTGCTGGTGGGTCGTAAGCACAACAAAGCCTGCCAATTTTGTGGAAGTCCATATTGGTGGAGTGCTTGAAGTATTTGTGCTTTTTTGCCTAAAAGATGACCAGCTTTTGGATCTGGTCCTTCAGTGCCTCCACTGTGGTCCTTTTACCTTGGAAGATCCTATTGTTTCTTTTGTCTAAATTACCCAGAGCGTGTCTGCTTTTGAGGCCCACCAGAGTAGAGTACCCGACCTCGATCGCGGTGGCAGGAATGAGGAGCTGAAGAATGTGGAACCAATTTTGGGGTTACCCACGACCCGTTGAAAAGTTGCAGTACGTCTCCCCAAAGTGCCAAAGCCACATTGTAGTGGATAAAGAGGTGGGGGTTGAAATCTTCGTCTGCTATAGGTCCCCCCAAAGTGCCAAAGCCACATTGTGGTGGATAAAGAGGTGGGGATTGGACTCTTCGTTTGCCGTGCACATTGCGCTTTTGTTGGGAATGGGCATTCCCCTTCTTTAAACTGGTCCACCATCAAAGCTCTTTCTGATAGAGTAATCCAATTGAAAACTTGGATTTTAGGTGGGATGAATGGGATACATGCCTTAGCGGTGATGGAAGTGGGGGACGCAGGATGGAAGTGGGGGACGTAGGGTTGAAGGGGGGAGGACAATGCAAGGAAATTTCCCATTTTGTTGTCGGTTAGGGTCTTTTAAAGCTGGTATTCCAAATTCTGGAGTTTGCCAAAGTGTGGTTTGCGATTTTTCCGTGGACGTTTCGGCGAGGAAGGGAGGTTAGCGAAAAGCCTCTAGGAGTTGTCAATCCAAATGTCCGACTTAAACTTAACTCGGTTGCCTCCCAGGGTCAGAATCTTATGTTCTCTTTGAAGAGGTTGAGGTTGCGGAGTATGGATCTCCATGCTCCTGAAGGTTGGCTGCTGGCCCTAAAAGATGGCAGCCAACTAGAGGGATGGAGGTGGTATTTGTGGCTGAAGACTTGCGACAAGTGGTCTTCTTGGGTTGCTAGGCGCCACCA